AGATCTCAGCAGAGAAGTACAAGCAGTCACTGTGAATGAGAAAGGCTTCTCTGCACATCAGTCATCCACAGCACCCTGTGCTCCTGCCATAAGGGTTTTGCAATGTCCCCACATGGTTTCACAATCCTTKGGGTGTCTGATGCCTGGATCAGACCAGACCTGCACATGAACACGATAAAACCAGCCAGTGGCAGAATTATCTCTATGGGGACATGCTCCCTGGCACAAGCTGGGGAAATTATGATCCTCTTGACAGCTTCAGCTCCACAGGCAGTGATAGGAGAGGATAGAGGGGGCTTCAGACCACACTGACCCTACATTCACCACCAACGACACAGACCAAAGTCAGGAAGCACCAAGGAGAACCCAGAAAGGCCACTCTTGCAACTCCTTTTCCTCTTTGGTTTTCTAATTTGTGTACTTTAAGTGCTTTGAAAAGGATTGATGGGATGGAAAACCCTCTGTTTTTCTGAAGCATGTTCTCTTTGCAAATAAAAATTTCTCCACATGTAATAATCTGCCAGGCACACTAAATATGATTTAAAAAAAAAAAAAAGAATAAACACAATTCAAGGTCTATTTCTAAAAAAATTCTACAGGGGAGCAGTTTTCATATCATTATGGACAGTAACCCCATACCAATACAAATAAATCATGTCCGAATATCCGTCTGCCAGCTCACAGTACCCTGTGCCAAGTGTGATATTTAATGAAATTCACAAAACAATACCACAAAAGTTTTCAAAACAGTCAAAAAAGCCAGAGCATAGAACAGACAGGGCAACACTCTAGGCTGGGAGAGTTATAATTTTATATACTGGAGGTTAAATGGTTTTTTTTTTTCATGAGCACATTCTTAAAAGGTTAGTGCACATTAAAAAATAAGCTATAGTTTTCAGGTGATTAAAAATACCATCTCTGCTCCTTTTCAAGATGATTAAAAGGCAGAAAGATAGTAAGGTAGATACTATTTGGAAGTTATATTCCATGTTTATGAATATCTTTTTTTTCAGAGAAAGGTGGTGTAAAAGTGTGTTAAAACTTAATTCCCCAGATTCTAAGCAAATCGAAGTAATAATGGTTTCTTAAAATTAGTCTGATGAAATAYAACCTATGAGAGATGAGAGCACATCAAGAAAAAAAAAATCCCTCTGAGCAAAACCATTCCCCAACATATATTTTCTGGTTGAATGCTGTCAATGTCACCCTGTCCACTGACTTTGTTTACTGGTTCTCTAAGACAAAATTGCTGAGTAGTTTCCTTATTTTCATGTATATTGATAACTCTGATGTTTTGAGTATTTATTTTGAGACAAAAATCAGCCTGAAATATTTTTTCTGATTACCTGAAAGCATCATGGTGGAGTTAATCTGATGAATCCTCTCATCCTAATGAACACATCTGAAAAGGACCAATCACAGTCTAAAAGTTTATATTTCTTTTTAACCAACAATTAGCAGGGAAAAAAATAAATATCAAAACCCAAACATACATACAAGCAAAACCTAATACATTTCCCTTTCTCCCCCCCCCCAAAAAAAAAAAAAAA